TAGGTAAGAAATATGAGGGCCTAAACCAGGGCAGTAAGTGAGGCTGAAAAGGAAAGCACTAATTCAAAATTATATTTAAGAGGTATCAGCAGAACATAGTGCCTGACTCGTCCTGATACCATGGAAAGGAGTTTGGATTTTATTCTAGGGTGATGGAAGACCCTGAAATGCTTTGAGCAGGGAGTGTGATTTTCTGAAAGATTTTAAAGAACCTCTCAGAGTGCTGTTGGAGAATATACTGTAATGGAGAAAAGAGTGGTAACAGATTATTTATTTTTTTAAAAGAAGGATATTGCCATAGAAGAGATTGATGGTAGCTTGAACCAGGGTGGACACAAAGGTGAGAAGCAACTGGATTGTTTGGGGGGTGTGTGTGTGTTTAAGAGACAGGTTCTGGCTCTGTCATCCAGCCTATACCACAGTTTCTCAAATCTCAAGTGCGCCTCCCGTGGGCCTCCCACAGTGCTGAGGTTACAGATATGAGCCACCCTATCTAGTCTCAGGTTGTATTTTTAACTGCAAATAGTATTGCCTAATGCATAAGGTTGAGAAAGAAAAAAGCAAGTTTAGGAAGATCACACTTGTTGAGCTCAACTGGCTTGTTTAATCAGGAGGTCAGGTTGTCCGCCTAGAGTGAAAATACCTTCAGAGGCTTGAGGACTGCAAATAGTAAAGGTCTGGAAGACAGCAGAGAAAATAAAAAGAGCTGAACAAAGGCTATTTAAGGATTAACTGATGCCCTGCATGAAGTATGAAACCATATGATTTTAGTGATATCAGTCTAACGTGATATGTCATTTTCCCTTCACAACACTCAACTACCCAGTTGCAGGAGTTAAGCATAGACTGTAGAATCTACAGGGTTTCATTTGTAAATGGCTTGAGTTAGATGACTTTTTAACCTACACGAGTTCCAAAACTTTACTTTTAAGAATCCTAGAGTCTGTACTGCTATCACACAATTTATTTTAAATTGGTGCCTAGATATAAATAACGTAAACTTACCATTTTAACTATTTCACTAGTTTATTTAAATTCAGCATTCCAGCCAGGGACCTCCAATAGGTGTGCTGGGACATTAAAAACCTAGCCCTGAAGGTGGCAGCACTGGGCCTGAGGTGACTAATCTCAACTTCTACTTCTGTTGCCACAGGATGGAAGCAGCCTCATCTTTTCATTACAATATATAACACAGGTGTTCATTTTCTAAGTATGCTGAAGTTGAAAAAGTTTGGGAAGTACTGCTCTAAGCCACAAAATATGAGAAACCCAGCATTACGAAGAGTTCAAAATAACTGCTTCTCTGTTAAAGACGTTTTTTCAGCAGATCTTTGGAACTTCCAAGTTTATTCCATGTGGTTCTTAAAGCTTCTTTAGAACCTATGAGGATGCCCGCCATTTCCATTTTTAAAGTGACCATATAATATCTCATTTAAAAATCTAAGAATTTTGAATGTACCCAAAGGTTTCCATTTACATAGAAACGGGATCTATCAGGGAATGCCCATTTAATTCACTCATAGAATACTGATTTGGTGGCAGACACTGGGCTAGTTTCTGGAGACAAAAGGGTGAACAAACCTTTTTTATTTTTTAAATTTTAGAGACAAGGTCTTTTGCTGTGTCACCTAGGCTGGAGTACAGCGGCACAATCATAGCTCACTGCAGCCTTGAACTCCCGTGCTCAAGCGATCCTCCCACCTCAGCTTCCACAGTAACTAGAACTAGAGCCATGCACCACTGTGCCCAGCTATTTTTGTTTGCTTTTTTAGAATAGGCGACAAGATTTCACTATGTTGCCCAAGCTCATCTTGAACTCCAGGCCTCAAGTGATCCTCTTGCCTCAGTCACCCAAAGTCTGGCCCAAGACATGGTTTTTTTATCTCAAGAAATTTACCGTCCAGCAGGGAGACAGAATTAATTAAATAACTAAAACAATAAAAACTGTAAGAAGGGGAGGTTACATGGTACTATAAGAGGATCTAGAAGAGACTATTGAAATAAGATAAAAACATGATTAGTTTTTTATCTCAAGAAATTTACAGTCCAGCGGGGAGACAGAATTCACTAAATAACTAAAACAATAAAAACTGTAAGAAGGGGAGGTTACATGGTACTACAAGAGGATCTAGTAGAAGAGACTATTGAAATAAGATAAAAACATGATTAGTAGATAGCTAGGGCAAAGAGTGGGGTAGGTTTGGTGGCGAACTCCAGGCAGAGACAATAGCATGCAATGGCCTAGGAGACATCAAAAGTCTAGTGAGACCACAGGACAGAAAATATCTGGAAATAAAGCCAAAGAGGTAGCAGAGGCAATTCAAAGGGGCTTCCTTCACAGAGTAACTGGAAGCCACTGAAGGGGTTTAATCAGCATAGTGACATTAATAGATGTACTTTTCAAGATCACAGTAGCTGCAGTATAGAGAAGTGGTCTCAAAGTAGACAAGATTTAAGGTGGAGGAGGGAAGAAGATGTATTTTTATTCTATTTTTTTCATCCTCTAAAAATGCTTTTAAAATGGATTATAATATTAGCTAAGAAATACTAATTATGGCTAGCTTTTGGGCACATAGTATATATCTGAATACTAAGCAGTTTACATATATTCATTTAATCTTAATACCCTGTGAGGTTGGTACTATTATTATCCTCAATTTACAAGTAGGTAAAATGGGACAGCGAGGTTAAGCAGTGAGGTCACTCAGTAAGGAAGTATTAGAGCAGGATTTAAACCCAGATGTCTGACTTCAGAGCCTGTAACTTCCTCGTTAGATCATGTACCATTCTTCAGCAGTACATGTATGTAATTTAAAATTAAATATATATATGGAGAATAGATGCTCAAATTTTTTTCCGAACACCAGTGAAAACAAAGGTTCAGGAGGGGTGGTTGGCTGTGTTGATGTGGAAAGGAGACTAGCAGTAGACTAGGTAAGAAATAACAGTATCTTGGATTATGGAGGTAGTGATGGAGAGAAGGGGATGGATTTAGATGTCTGGTAAGTAAAATTGGACTGGGTGATGGCTTGCATATGGAAGTTAGGGATGAATAAAGTGTCAAGGATGACTCTGGTTTCTGACTTGCATAAATGGATTAGACAGTGACACACAGGCAGAGGCCATAGGAACAGGTTGGGTCATTCTGCTCAGATACTTTTTCTTTGGACCACAGTACAGACCACAGCACACTGCTCTTTCAATACTCTGTTAAATGACAAACTTATTACAGGTTATGTCATAAACATAGAAGCTTCACTCTGTCAATTATGTTTCCTATCTTGTGTTAAAAATTACATAGTCAAAATTTTATCCATTTCCTTTTAAAAATGTGGAGTTAAGTCTTATAAAACGGGGAAGTGAATGATAGTTGCCGTAACACGCTAATAGAAGGTCTAGCACCCCTCTTCTGTATACTAACTTTTTAAGTTATGGTATTTATTCATCCCTTAAGTTGTGGGGACAGGTGGAAAAATTACCTTTCCACTTTGTATTTATGATTTTCTAAGTACTAAACTTTTAAACTGTTAATATCCCTTGTCCTCTTCCCAGGTCTTAGAATGATTACACAAAAGTACTGGACTGGTTTAAAAGATATTGTGATTCTACTCTGTTTTGTTCATTTGTAGAATTTCTAGTGGTCTAAAAACGATTCTTTTAGAAATCAGGAGAAATAGGAATACCTACTATCGGTCTGAATCTCAAACGAACAGTCACAAGAAAACTGGACTTAAAAAAAAATTATCTAACAGCATGTTGTCCCAATAAATAACGCTGATCGCTTCAGATTCCTTCTCTTTTCAGATCTGCCAGAAACTTCCTGTTTAACCTCAGCAAAATACAGATCGTTTTGATCTATGGCGTTACCGCCCAATCCTGTCAGGTCACATCACTAAACTGCAGATAACAGCAACAAGGCCAAAAACTATAGCCTGTAATCTCAGCACTTTGGGAGGCCGAGACGGGCGGATCACAAGGTCAGGAGATCGAGACCATCCTGGCTAACACGGTGAAACCCCGTCTCTACTAAAAATACAAAAAACTAGCCGGGCGAGGTGGCGGGCGCCTGTAGTCCCAGCTACTCGGGAGGCTGAGGCAGGAGAATGGCGTAAAAACCCGGGAGGCGGAGCTTGCAGTGAGCTGAGATCCGGCCACTGCACTCCAGCCTGGGCGACAGAGCGAGACTCCGTCTCAAAAAAAAAAAAAAAAAAGAAAACTATGTTAGACGGATCCGCGTCCATACCCCACCATCAGTTAATTTTAACTCTCCGTTCGGTACAGGTCACTCATACATGCTTCCCTCCAAAATGTTTAAGTTAGACACACTGTACAGATAACTTTCACAGAACCCCAAGGGCGTGATGCTCCCCCGACAGAACGGCTTGAGCTTTCCCCAGCGCATCTCAGAGGCGCTGTGGCGGTCGCCAGACTCTTCGGGTCGCTCCCCTCCCCAGCCATTGTACTCGGGAATGGGCCGCACAGCGGAGCCCGCTCCTCAGCTGGGGCACAAAGTGCGCCGCCGCGCCGGGCAGCGGGAGGAAGGGGCGTGACGCAGCTGGAACTCCCGCGTGACGTCGCGCGGGCTCTCGGGCGGGGCGGGTCCGGCCGCCTCCGAGCCCGGCCGGCAGCCCCCGGCCTTAAAGCGCGGGCTGTCCGGAGGGGTCGGCCTTCCCACCGAGGATTTGGCATTCTGGTGAGGGGAAAGGGCGAAAGAGAAAAGCGACCAGCCGTCCCTTCACAGCGTCAGAAAGTGCTCGCTTCCCTTTGGGGGCTTTCGCCAATCCCGAGGCAATCTTGGAGGCGGTAAGTAAAAGGAATCTCTTTACCCCACCCGGAGCTCTGGGTCGGAGAGGCTACTTCTGGTCTGGAGCTGCGCGCTTGGCGAAGGGCTCCCGGGGTAGGGGTGGCCGCCCGGCTCTGGGGCTGTGTCTGAGGAAATAGGCCGGGCCCGGGCTACACTCGGTGGCTGTGGACCGGCGAGAGGACGAGCTCTCACTTACTACTATTTCTCGGTCTCCCGCGCGGGCTGAGGAAGCGTCTTTCACCGCCAAGCGCGTCCCGCGCATGCGCCGGCTGCGGCGCGCGCGGGCGTGCGCTTCAGAGCTTTTTTGGCCAGACCCGCACGCGGAACCCGCGCGGGCCCCTGGGGAGAGGCAGATGGAGGAGCCTGGCTTTTTGCAGCTCTGCTCTGTTCCGCCCATGTGAGGACCGCTCAGATGCCCCGTGCAGTTTGTTCAAGTCCCCTGTGTGACTCGAGATGTGCCTCTCGCCTTACCCGTGTGGGAATACCTGTGGTATGGCAGCGAGTATTTTGGTGAACCCCTGCAGTGTGGTGGTTTATACTAAGGAATACACAGAAATGTATTAAACAGTTACAGGCCTTTGAGCCCAGAATGCAACCTGGGACGCAAGACGCACCGTGCTGAGAGATTGAGAAATGCACACTGTTGTACCTCGAATAACGGTTCAGTGCCGAGAGAGATGCTAACAACAAGTGCTGGGCATGCGGGGTAGGTGGAAAGGGTTTTGCGAGCTAGAATTTGCAAGTTGAATGTTTTGTTTTTATGTTTTGTTTTTAAAGCACCGTACATCACTTACTTGTAGATAGATACGTAAAGGATGCTTATTTTACACTCTTGGCTTTAAACGAATATATTAATACTTTTTTGATCATTAAAGTAATTAAACCTTTATTTTAAACTGTTGACTTCATAGAAATAGTTTATGTCCTTTTTTTTGTTTTGTTTTTGCTGCAGAGAGGTATTTTACAGTTATTGGTCTCATGACTTGATTTCCATCCCTGACATAGCCATGTCCCAGCTGTGTGACCTTGGGCAAGTAATTTACTGCCTTACGCCTCTTCCCCCAACTCTACAATGAAATTATAGTGTCTGTCTTATAGAGTTTTTCTGAAGGTTAGGTAGAATACAAATATTCTATAATAATACATAATTATATATTAAATAATATATAAATATAAATTTTCTACAGCACAGTTTCTGGTATGTGGAAAACAATAAATGGTGACTTTTATTCACAATTATATATAGGCCCATTTGTTTGTCCGTTAGAGTTAAAAATAGAATGAAAACCTCTTTGGAAACAAGACTAATGCAGTGCACCTAATTCTTAAAAACTTTTTTGCAGAAGTAAACGTATACGAGAGAAATATTAGAATTATGAACCCTATTGCATACCCATCCACCCATCTTCAGAAATTGTTGAAGTTCAGCCCTTGTTTCATCTCTTCACCCAACATCCATTTTTGTTTGTTTTAGCTGGATTTTCTTTTTCAAGCAAATCCCAGAGAATATATCCCTTTACCTGTAAATATCTCAGTAAATATCCCTTTAACAGATAAGGCCTTTCAGAAAAAAACAGCATCAATTATCATACAAGGAATTAATAATTCTAATATTCTAAATCCCAAGTTCATATTTAGTTCCTGCTGATTTTTTTTTTTTTTTTTTTTTTTTTTTGAGACGGAGTCTTGCTCTGTCACCCAGGCTGTTGCGTTTGCAGTGGCTGGATCCTCAGCTGACTGCAGACGTCTCTCTCGGGTTCCGCATTCCTCCTGCCCTCAGCCTCCCGAGTAGCTGGGACTACGGACAGCCCGCCCACCCTCGCGCTAGTTTTTTTTTTTTGTATTTTTTAGTAGAGATGCGGGTGTCACGGTGTGTATGCCAGATGGTCTCGATCCCCCTGACCTCGTGGATTCGCCACCTCGCCTCCCAAGTGCTGGGATTACAGGCTTGAGCAACCGCGCCCGGCCTCTGCTGATTATTTTTTTAAAGTTCAATCACAATTTTTGCAAAGCTTGATAGTTTAGTTTTTGTAGCTCTTTACAGTTCACCAAGTGGCTTCACATAAAAAAATGCTCCCTTCAGAATTACTGTTTCAACTCCTTCATCAGAAACCTCAAGAAATGAAAAAAAAGAAACAATCAGTTCGCGCACTTGTTAGAAATGGTACTATATTGGCTAAGGAGCCAGATGTGAGGTTTAGTAGACTTGCTAATCGCTATACTTTTTAAGTTGTAGCTAGTTAATGGTTTCATTTTAAGAACACATATTAAAATATTTACTAATCTGTTCAAACTTCTTAACCTGTTGGTTTCTTCAAGGACTATGTAATAAACTTAATCATTCGCCTTTATTCTAAGAGAGGCATGAAGTAACGTTACCCTAATTGTGTTATAACTCTAAGATGTTTCTATATTCATAGATCTAAAAAAAGTTTATATCTTACTGACTTCTCTTGTTTTTGGAAAGTTATACAGATCCTCATCAAAAAAAATACATCAGTCGACTATCTCTTTTATAAAATATATATAGATGTGTGTATATATAAAAAAACTTGTTAAGTCAAGACTATCTTAGAATGTTTTTCAGTTTTGGGCTCAGTATGCAAAAAAACCAATTCAAAAGTTAAAATTTTTTTTTTTTTTTTTTTAAATTGAGACAGGGTTAAAAAAACCCAGGCTGGAGTGCAGTGACACAATCCCCGCTCACTGCAAATTCCACCTCCCAAAAAAAGGCAGTTCTCCTGCCTCAACCTCCCAAGTAGCTGGGACCACAGGCACGCACCAAAAAAAATGGCTAACTTTTGTGTTTTTAGTAAAGACTGGGTTTCACCATGTGGCCAGACTAAAAAAAAACTCCTGGCCTCAAGTGATCCACCCACCTCAGCCTCCAAAAGTGCTGGGATTGCAGGCCAGAACCATCTCCCCCAGCCAAAACAATAAATTATTTTATAGTGGTAAATTAATACTGACCATGAATGATAAAAAGCCCTCAATATCCAAATCCTTTCTGTTTAACATAATTTAAAAAAAATTTCCTCTAAGAGAAATAAGAAGATTTGCCTGAAAATTTACCTTATATAGCCAAATAACTGAAATCAGGGCTTTTCTCACCATTATCATCTTTCCTTATTCTTTCCTTCCCCTAAAAAAATCTAAAAATGATTAATTACAAGTAAATAAAGAAATAGTAAATGAGGATATCTGGGCTTGTGTTTCATCCTGACTTCAAAGTACATAAAGATAAATGCAACGTTCATTTATGTTGCAATCTGTCATTTCAGGTATTTGACCTGTACAAAGACGACTTGATATCTCTATAATGTAAAAAAAAAAGTCAGAAAATATTAAGCAAATAGAAGTGTGGAGCATATTAAGCAAGATGAAAAAAAAAGGAAGCAGTTGTGGAAGCCCTAACTCTGCAGATATATCTAGTGACTTTAAGGAAAAAAAAACAAAACTAAAAGAGTGTCATGATAAAGAAGTACAAGGTAAAATCTTAAATACAAAAAAAAGTATTTTATTGCGACTGTAGTGGCTTTGTATACCTTTGTGTGACAGTTCTCTTTATTTTTTCTATTTCAGCTTTGAGGTTCGGGGGGGTACATGTGCAAGTTTAGTACATGGGTAGATTGCATGTTGCTGGAGTTTGGTGTACAAATGATTTCATCACCCAGGTAGTGAACATGGTACCCCATAAGTAGTTTTTTGATCCCCACCCTCCTCCCACCCCACAACCCTCCACTGTCATGTAGGTCCCGGTACCTGTTGTTCCCCTCATTGTGTCCATGTGTACTAAATGTTTAGAAAAAAATTATAAATGAGAACATGCAGTATTTCTGTTCCCTGCTTAGAGTAATGGCTTCAGCTGTATCCAAGCTGCTGCGAAGAAAATCATTTTGTTCTTTTTTTATGGCTACGTAGTATAAAAAAATGTATATGTACATTTTTTTATTCAGTCCACTGCTGAGTTTTGTGCATTTAATGAAAAAAATTAAGTTCAAAGATATCTCTCTTTTTTTTGACACAAGGTCTCACTGTGTCATCAAAAAAAGGTGTAGTGGTGTGATTACGGCTCACCGCAGCTTCCACCTCCCATTTTCAAGTGAGCCTCCCTCCTGTAGTTGGGACCATAGGCACACGCTGCCATGCCTGGCTAATTTTTTATTATTCGTAGAGTCAGGGTCTCACTATGTTGCCCAGGCTGGTCTTGAACTCCTGACCTCATGTGATCCTTCTGTCTTTGCCTCCCAAAGTGCTGGGATTACAGACGTGAGCCACTGTGCCAAAAAAAAAGATCTCATTATTTATTTATTTGTGTATTTATTTATATATTCATGTATTTATTTGTTTACTTATCTATTTTCAGAGAGGGTCTCACTGCATCGCCCAGGCTGGAGTGCAGTGGTATGATCACAGCTCACTACAGCCTTGACCTCCCAGGCTCAGGTGTTCCTCCCACCTTAGCCTCCTGAGTACCTGAGACTACAGGTGTGCACCACCATGTCCAGCTAATTTTATGTGTTTTTTGTAGAAACAGAGTTTTGCCATGTTGCCCAGGCTGGTCTTGAACTTCTGGCTCAAACAGTCCACTGGCCTCAGCCTCCTGAAGTTCTAGGATTACAGGTGTCAGCCACCGTGCCCAGCTGATCTTTTTTTCTTTTTCTTTTTGAGACAGCGTCTCGCTTTGTCACCCATGCTGGAGTGCAGTGGTGCAAACATGGCTCAATATTAGCGTCAACCTCTCGGGCCCAAGTGATTCTCCCACCTCATCTTCCCAAGTAGTTGGGACTACAGGCGCACACACCATGCCCAGCTAGTTTTTTTTTTTAACTTAACCTTCACCTTAGAACACCTAGCTAGTTTTTGTATTTTTTTGTGGAGACAGGGTTTCGCTATGTTGTGCAGGCTGGTCTCAAACTCCTGAGCTGAGGTGATCCTCCCGCCTTGGCCTCCCAAAGTGCTAGGATTACAGGCGTGAGCTGCGCACAGCCCAGATCTCATTTTTAGAGGACATTTACACTTGTAGTTTTTGTGATTCATTTTTATGGTCAAATTGGTGCTTTTAAAAAAAAGAACATAATTTGTATACAACTTGCTGTTATTTACTTGTGGTAATATGTATGAGATAGTGGAAAAGGTAAAGAATTTGTTGACTGAAGACCTGGATTTGAATTCTGATTTCATTTACCCACTTGCTCTGTGATCTTAAGCCTAATTACCTAACCTCTAAATTTAATTTTCTTCAAAAAAATTTTTGCAGGATATTGACATAAAATTACTACATAAGTCATTTGACAAACCTGTAAAAAAAAAATACAAAAGTGAATGGCAGCTTACTTTCAGAGAGCCTGTTTAATGGAGATAAAAAAAAGTAAACAGATAATTACAATACAGTGAAATAACAGTTAAAAGGTTTTTATGAAGAAAAAAAAGTATATAGAGGATTAAGCAATTGTGATTGAGATGAGTAAATATTATTTGTATAAAAAAAAGCTAAGCTCAAGGTTTTGATATTAAATTTTAATATACTTTAATTCTGTAACTAAAAAAATGTGTGAGAAATGCTTCATATGACATTTGTTTCTTGATTACCTATTATAAGTTAAAAAAAGCAGTGCTTTATAGCTGTATCATTACACTGGAGTACCATTAAAACATAATCCAAAAAAAACTAAACTGTAGTATGTGGGTCTGTTAGGACTTTCTTATGGTAGGCCGGGGGTGGTGGCTCATGCCTGTAGTCCCAGAACTTTGGGAGGCCAAGGTGGGCGGATCACCTGAGGTCAGGAGTTTGAGACCAGCCTGACTGACATGGAGAAACCCCTTCCCTACTGAAAATACAAAAAAAAAAAGGCGTGGTGGTGCGCACCTGTATCCCAGCTACTCAGAAAGGCTGAAGCAGGAAAAAAAATTGAACCCAGGAGGCGGAGGTTGCGGTGAGCTGAGATCGTGCCATTGCACTCCAGCCTGGGCAACAAGAGCAAAACTCCATCTCAAAAAAAAAAAAAAAAAAAATTTCCCATGAAAAAAATAGTTTCCGGCAAAACTTCTGATAATACTCTTACTAATTAATGAGTTTTGAAAAAAAAAAAACCCCAAAAGTATTCTTTCAAGCCCCAGTGTTCATGGAGACACAAAGAAATGTTCAAGAAATGTTTTTTGGGCAATTACTATTTGCCAGACCTTGTGAATAAGAATGAATCCAAAAAAATGCTAGCTTTAAGGAAATTTCTAGTCTAGAATTTTAATGCAGTGTACTATGTTAAAAAAAGAAAACATGAAGGAAGAACTGAGGGTGTGTGTGGTTGCATGGGGAAGTGGGTTAAAAAAAGGTTTATGTCAGACTAGGCTTGATAACTGATTAAGTCTAATTAGCCAGGCAAAGAAGATGGTGGAAGGGGAGGGAATTTTCTGAGTAGAGAGAGTAGCACATGCAAAAGTTTGAAAAAAAGAGCTTGATTCTATTCAAGGAACTATGGATGGTTAGGTTTAGTTCTAAGAGGAAAAAAAATGGGAGATGGGAGTTTTTGGGGGAGGTGGATAGGGTATGATGCTAGAAATGTAAAAAAAACCAAATTACGTAAAATGGTATGTGCTGTGCTGAAGAGATTGTCATCATGCCTTGACTTTAGGGCAGATTTCTCTATTTCTGCAAAAAATGTTGGGATTTGGGGATTTGGGATTAAAAAAAGTAGTGCGTTGAATCTGTAGATTGCTTTGCATAGTATTGACATCTTAACAATATTGTCTTGTAGTCCATGAACACGGGATATCTTTCTATTTATTAGTGTCTTCTGTATTTCTAAAAAAATTATTTTTTAATTATTAATTTTTAGAGATGAGGTCTTGTCTCATTGCCCAGGCTTGAGTGCAGTGGCACAATCATGGTTCACCGTAGCCTCAAATTCCAGGGTGCAGGCAATCAAAAAAATTCCACCCTCAGAGTAGCTAGGACGACAGGCATGCACCACCACATCTGGCTAATTAATTTTTTTGTAGAGACAGGGATCTCACTTTGTTGCCTAGGCTAGCCTCAACTCCTGGGATCAAGCAGTCCTCTGACCACCTTGGCCTCCGAAAGTGCTAGGATTACAGGTATGAACCACCACACCTGGTCATTCTGTAATTTACTTCAGCACCATTTTCTGATTGTCAGGGTACAAGAAAAAAATCTCCTTGGTGAAATGTATTCTTAAGTATTTTATTCTTTTGATGCTACTGTAAAAAAAAATGTTTTCTTAATTTGCTTTTCAGATTGTTCATTGTTAGTGTATAGAAATATAAAAAAAAATTGTGAGTCGATTTTATATTCTGCAACTTTCTTGAAACTCTTGATTTCTATTTAAAAAAATTATGTTTTGAAACAGAATTTCACTCTGTCACCCAGGCTGGAGTGCAATGGCGTGATCTCAGCTCACTACAACCTCTGCCTCCCAGGTTGAAGCAGTTCTCCTGGCTCAGCCTCCCAAGTAGCTGGGACTACAGGCATGCACCACCACTCCTGGCTAATTTTTGTATTTTTAGTAGAGATGGGGTTTCACCATGTTGGCCAGGCTGGTCTTAAACTCCTGACCTCAAGCGAGCCGCCCATCTCAGCCTCCCAAAGTGCTGAGATTACAGGCAGGAGCCACTGTGCCTGGCTATAAAAAAACTATTAATTTAATAGAAATAAAATATTTGACAAATTTCTTCTTCTGTTCTTTGAAAAAAAAGGATCTTCATGAAATCCCTATTTTACGATGAGGAAGCATCAAGAAAACAAATGATATACTCTTTAATAGAAACAATATGCCATATTTATCAAATTATAGAATATATAAAGCTAAAAAAAATTTTGTAGTAGATAATTATCTTAAAGTGTACTCCTCATGGTTATGCTCTATTAAAAAAACCACAAAAATGTCTATACTCTGAAGAACTTTAAGAGAGGAATACAGTAATTATAAAAAAATATGGTAAAGTCCATGTGTTTTATGAATGTTAGGTATTGGATATATGCGCTCAAAAAAAAAGATAATCTTTGGTACATTATATTGATCATGGCAATTTCAAATACCTTATGGATTCTTAAAGGTACTAAATGAATAAGTACTATTTTTTAAGTTGCTATGTCATTTAAAAACAAAAAAAATTGGGCCATGCCTTTGTCAATATGTTCCATATAGTTCCATATAAAATTAGAGTAAAAAAATGATAACATCAAAGACATGCCTGAAGGGAACTTAATTTTTTTAAGGAGGTGGGAAAAAAATTTGTAGAAACCAGTATAAGAAGCTGTTTGAAAGACATCAAACATGGACTTGTAAAAAAATTGCAGGTTTTAAGGTATATATAGAAATCAAAATTGACTCATTACTTTTAAAGAAAAAAATCAGCAAAAAATAAAAGAGAACGGCTGGAAATGGTAATATTTGAGATACGTAGAAAAAAATTATGTTGGAAATGGTAATATTTGAGATACATAGTTTTTACTTAGCTGCAGAAAAAAAAACATAGGACCTTGCATGCATCCGAATGCTCTGCTACATGTGTTTAGAAATTTTTAAAAAAATTTTGCCAAAACATAATAAAATGATAGCAAAATATGACAGTATGTACACTGATAAAAAAAATATGATAAACTGCATCCACGTCTTTTAAGACTAGGAAAAAATAGACAAAATGTTCTAATTTCTGCTGGAGACTAGCAATATGCAAACCAGACCATTTTTGTTGAAAAGTTCTGGAGACATTTATGACTGAGTTTTTATATCCTTTAAAATAATTGTATCCTTTCATGATTGTATCATTTCATGATG